CTCTCTCTCTCTCTCTCTCTCTCTCTCTCTCTCTCTCTCTCTCTCTCTCTCTCTCTCTCTCTCTCTCTCTCTCTCTCTCTCCCCCACCCCCCCCCTCTCCCCTACTCTTCCCTCATTCTCTGTTTTTTTTTCTTTCGGCATCGCGATACAAAACCGGCAGGTCCTCTTCCTCCTCCTACTCTCCTCCTCCTCCTCTTGTCCTCTTCTTCTCTCCTCCTCCTCTTCCTCCTTCCGTCTTGTCCTTCTCCTCCTCCTCCTCCTCTCGTCTTCTTCTTCTTCTGTCCTCCTCCTCATCCACCTACTTTTGTCTTCTCCTTCTCTCCTCCTCCTCGTCTCCTTCATCGTCCTCCTTTTTTCGTCATCCCCATACAGTACCGGCCTTTTCCTTCTCCTCCTCCTCGCGTCTTCTTCTTTTCTCCTACTCCTCCTCCTCCTCCTCCTCCCCCTCCCCCTCCTCCTCCATTACTTTTTCTTCTCTTTCTCTCCTCCTCCTCCTCCTCCACCTCCTCCTCCTCCTCCTCCATCTTCGTCTTTTGTTTCCCGTCATCCACATACGCAACTGGCAGGTCCTCCTCCTCCTCCTCCTCTCGTCTGCTTCTTCTTCTCTCCTCCTCCTCCTCCTCCTTTCGTCTTGTCCTTCTCTCCTCTTCCTCCTCCTCCTCCTCCTCCTCTCGTCTTCTTCTTCTCCTCTCCTCCTCCTCCACCACCTACTTTCGTCATCTCCTTCTCTCCTCGTCCTCCTCATCCTCCTGCTTCATCGTCCTCTTTTTTTTCTTTTTTTTTCATCATCCCCATACACTACCGGCAAGTCCTCCTCCTCCTCCTCTCCTCCTCTGGTCTTCTTCTTCTCTCCTCCTCCTTTCGTCTTGTCCTTCTCCCCTCCCCCTCCCCCTCATCCCCCTCCTTTCAACTATTCGTTTTTCAAGACTCTATCTTTTTTCTCCTCCTCCTTTCCTCTCCTCTTTCCTCCCCTCCTCCTCCCCTTCCTCTTGTCTTCTTCTTCTTCTTCTTCTTCGTCACCTCCTCCTCCTCCTTTCATCTTCTTCTTCTCCCTCCTTTATTGATCTGGGAAAAATTGTGAGATGCCCCTGAAATTTTGATTAATTTGCGGCGTGCCCCTCTGATGGCCAACTTACCCTGTCGCGCCCCTCTGACAACGAATGATCTTTCCAGAAAACCCCTGGTGTCGTTTGGGCCTGAAACATGTTTCATATGCCCCTACTGGTACCTCCCCCAAATATCCAGTATGCCCCTTGAGAACCAGCAGAGACATTTCCCATATTCCCCTAACGGTGCCGAGCATCTTTCCAGCATGGCCCTGTGGATGTCGATGACACTCACGGCCTTTCCCCTGGCCCTGGGAGAGGATCTTTCTGCCATGCCTTCTCTCTCTCTCTCTCTCTCTCTCTCTCTCTCTCTCTCTCTCTCTCTCTCTCTCTCTCTCTCTCTCTCTCTC